GCGTGAAGTTTTCAGCAATGTTGTCAGACATCTTCAATGAGGAAGAAAAGACATCAAGTTCAGCTACCACACTGATGGTAAATTATTTAACTTGAAAAGGTTATAAGCCAAGACTAAGGCAGAGGGAGAGTTGGTGTGCGATTTTTTGTTCTCAGATGATTGTGCACTCAATGCAGCCTCTGAGGCTGAGATGCAACAGAGTATGGCTCAATTCTCTGCTGCTTGTGCTAATTTTGGCCTGACAATTAACACCAAGAAAACAGAGGTTCTCCACCAGCCAGCACCACACCATTCATCCATGGAACCATCAGTTAACAGCAAATGGAGAAATTTTGAATACTGTGGATAAGTTCACCTACTTTGGCAGCATGCTCGCCAGGGATAAACACACAGATGATGAAGTTGATACACACACTGCCAGAGCTAGCTCAGCATTTAGGAGGCTCCAAAGGAAAGTGTGGGAGAGAAGAGATATTAGGCTGCCTACCAAACTGAAGGTCTCCAGAGCCCTTTCGCTGACATTGTTGTATGCCTGTGAAACCCAGGCAGCACACCAGCCCCATGGAGGAAACTGAATTGCTTCCATTTGAATTGTCTTAGGAAGATTCTGAAGATCATCCAGCAAGAGGAGGTACTAGACACTGAAGTCCTTTCTCAAGCAGAACTGTCACGCATTCAAACTCTACTGTAGAGAGAGCAACTCCAAGGGGCTGGCCATGTCGTCCGAATGCCAAATATAGCCTAAAAGACTATTTTACAAAGAATTCCCACAAGGAAAGTGCTCACATAGAGGTCCGAAGTGATACAAAGACACTCTCAAGGTCTCTCTGAAGAACTTTAGAATTGATTGTGGGGCATGGGAGACACTGGCACAGGACCGCCCGGAATGAAGTACACACATCAAAGCAGAATTGCAGTAGCTTAAAAGAAACGTGAGATGTGCAAAGTTAGAGACATTCCCACTCCAAATGTTCATATGGACTATTTATGCCCAACTTGTGGCAGAGCCTTCTGAGCCTGTATTGATCTGATCGTCCACAGTTGGACACACTGTACCTTCACCCCAACGTAGTGACGCCATTCTGGTCTTCTTTGAGCATGAAGGACAACAACGGACCACTTTTCTGATCCTAAACCTGTCCCTTCCTCTGTCCACTGAACTGAAGCACATCTGGGTAATCCAGAAAAGATGGCTGCAGAACTCTACCCTTAGCTGATTCTTTCAAACTTTCTCTTAGCCCCACTGTGTCCCCAGTGGCTGTCAGCTGTTACAGCTCATTGGCATACTCTAGCAATGGTCTGGCATCCGACGTCATCCTTATTACATACTTCAAAAGAAAAGCAAGCTATACATAATAGTGACTAGCAGTTTCAGGAGCACAACCTCTTTTTCTGTTCTACTCTCTATATGTAAATACCCATTCTAGTTGGTATTAGGTTCAGAATAAAAATAAAAAGTAGTATTAATAAAAAGGAAACTACATCTTCTCAAGTTTTATGGGAGCGCCTACATATTGTCTGGGACTCTGTCTCACAACATTGTCTGTCCTCTAGAAAAGCTGCTTCTCCCCTCCATCCCTGATCCCTCCAGCTGCTTGTGCCTTCACCTCCCAGGGCTCTCTATCTCTTTTGCGTATCTTGATATACAGACATGCCTTCCTCGTGAGCCAGTCAATGCCATGGGAGCCTAGCTCCTAAAGGCCGGGTAACAAATGGTTGTTGATTGACATAACACTGATTGATAATGAGATTCCAGGGAAGGGAGCACAGAAATGGTCAACTTTACCACCCAGCCCAGAGGGTCCCGCAAATCAGCCTGTGGGCTGACAAAGGGCCAACAGGGGAGGAGTCCCCAGTAAAGAGACCTACAGAAAGCCAGGGAGAATGGATAGACGAGAGGCAGCTTCCTGCACACAGAGAGGCAAGGAAAACAGGTAATAAGCGTGCTATGCAGCTCAGAGCCCGAGAGGCTGTGGGTTAGAGTGAAAAAGGGAACGGGACCATAGACCTCAGCTCAGCAAATACCTCCCACAGTGGATGGGCAATTCTCTTAACCTCTCTGGTCCTCAGTTTCTCCATTGGCAAACGAGCATAAGAGTACATGTAGTACTTACCTCATAGGAGTACGAGGATCAAACGATATCATTTACATTTGCAAAGTTTAAAGTGCTGAATTAATGAGTTATTATTATTATTATTATTGTTATTGTTACTGTTGTTGTTATGATCCCAGGAGAAAACAAATGGGGAAAATTCAGTGCAACGAGCTGCCTGAACAGACATGAAAACCCAAGATCATGAATTATGGCATCTCGGGTGGCTGAGTTCTCGCGTCAAAAAGCAGCAGACGTGGCTGGCTGGCTGGCTGGCTATCACCTGGGTGCATTCTGAATCTGAAAAACTCACAGCAAGTGTCGAATGCTCAAAATGCATGCCAGCGCAGTGTTCTATAAATAATCTAACCCTAATAAGTATAAGAACATTGGGGGCTTTTTTAGAACTCAGAAATAATCAGAGAAAAATCAAACTAAGCTACCAACTTGTAATCCCATGTAACAGAACTGTTCCTTCGCTAACTTCCAGCCCAGCATTTCGCCAGCACCAAGTCCTCCGGCGTGAGTGGGCGATGGCAGTCTGTGGTATCCAAGTGACCACTTGTCTGGTTAAAGGACATTTTTAATTCCCTAAAATACCTCTAGCAACAACAACCTCTCTCTTCTTTAAATCTGTGTTATGTAGGACGCTATAGAGAAAGTTTTTTCTAAGAAAATAATAAGCAATAGGAAAAGAAATGCAGCAGCAAAATATTTTTAGCAACCAGTTGTTTGATTCTCCATTACTCTTCGACCCCCTAGCAGCCCATAACGCCCTTGACCACCGTTTCACCTCCACTCACCAAGGGACGGGCTTTCCTCACTGGTAATGGCTCCATCCCTTCAGCTTCTTCAGAGGGTAAGTGCCTTCTGAAGCTTCCACTTGAGGAGGCCCCAGGCTTGCCGTGGTCTCTGCAAACCTAGACTCCCCATCCCAACCTTTGATGCGTTATCTTCTACTAGAATGCAATCTCCCTAAGGATAAGGCCTCTCTTCTATCTGCTTGTAAGTACAGTGCCTGGAATATAGTAAACACTTAATAAATCCTATTCTCTCTCCCTCCCTCTCTCACTCTCTCTCTCTCTCCCTCTCTCCCTCCCTCTCTCTCTCTCTCTCTCTCTCTCTCTCTCTTCTCTCCTCTCCTCTCCTCTCCCCCAACCAGAGTTTCTTAACACTAACTCACAGGCTCCTAATCCTAAATCTAATCTCCTAGGGATTTGTGGACAGATTGCAGAGGAACTGTGAACTTGGATGGGGAAAAAAAATCGCATTTTCATTGCAGTATAATTGATTTCCTCTAGAATCCTACGTATTTTATTACGTGCTTTTCAAAACCTGATTCTGAGTGGGGTCCCTAGGCTCCCCCAGACCTCCAACAGGGTCCATGACACACAAGAGGGTAAGAAGCCCTAACTTACCCACATGTAAGGTGCAGAAACTGTAAAGCACAAGAAAACTGTGAGGATTTTCAGCTGGTCTCAACTCCAGGGTTTCCCTGCATAACATTCCATCTCCCATCTACATGCCTTTATCCAGGCTGTCCCCCATGCCTAGTATGCCCTCCTTCTTCACCTCCATCAAACTAAGTGCCACCCCCTTTATGAAGTTTTTCCCTGTGCTAACACTTTCACTGTGGAAATTACTTTGCACATGCTTTATATTTAATATTCTGTGCTCTTGTTGTGAATGAATTCTTTAATGAGAAGATTGTTTAGTTTTTTTATCTTCATCTCCCCAGGACTAGCACAATATTTGCCACATTCAGCCACAGGCACTTAAAAATCCTAGCTGGATGAACAAAACAGGAATCTAAGAATGGAAATATTTATTCCCATCAGTTTTCAAGAACCCTTTCCTCCTAGATTTCTAGAGTCACATAGTAAGCTGACAGCCACCCTCAAATTACGTCCCTTTGCTTTTCCGTAGCTTCTATGGAACAAGCACAGTCCCGTTGCCAGAATTCTCAGGCCAGTCCTTTCTGGGAGCTCTGCAGGCAGCAACAGAAAAGCTAAATTGTCCACGAAACTGAATCCCCATTTCACCATTCTTCCGGTTCGATGCCAATCGTCCCAGAAGGGGTGATGGGGATGGGGCTTGCCTATTCCCTGACCTTGCCATCCCTAGTCTGTGGATTTCTTCATCCTTGATATAGCGCCTTTCAGTACTTTTATTTACTTTAGGTCTGTGTTCGAGCCACTTAAAAGCTTTATGTTAATATCAGTTGGCAAGCATTATTACACCTGATTTATAACTGAAAATCAACCAGACTGCTACTTAGACAGCCGCATGAGCAAACAAACTGTACTGGTGCTAATTAAATTATAGGAATAAAACATGACTTTATAATGAAAAGCATGAACAGTGGACGGCCAAGGGCGTGCAATCTGGCTCTGGCCCTGGCCCTCTCTCATTTAGTCCAGATCACACTGCTAACGTCTTCTAGGCGTTTTAGAAAGGACAGAGTGAGAGAGAAAGGAAGAGATCTGTTCTCATGCAATCTGTACACAGTACAGATTCTTTTAAATTCTTTTAAAAAAACGAAAAAAATTGTTAAAAAAATACATGCAAAAATCCCAATTCTTTCTGAGACAGCTAGTAGCATCTAAGCAAACTGTCTAACAGAAAGCTCTTCTTAATACTGATTTCTTCCCAATTTGTTCTATACTGCTGTGGCTCACAATCTGAGTGACACAGGCCTCCTAAGTGCCTGTAGCCCATAGTAAATGTGTCTTAGAACCTGAGCACAAAGGGCCAATTTCTCAGATGAAAATCACTCCATGGCAGGTAGATACTAAGAGAAAAGGAGGAAGAAAGAAAGCTGATGTGGGCTACAGAGAACGGTTAAAGTAAAGGAGAGAGAAAGAGAGAGCAGAGACACGGGTGTGTGTCTGCATTGATTAGACTTACCATGTCTTGCAAAAGGGTTGAAGCCCAAACCATCCATCTTAATGCTGTAAGAGCTGAGATTTGGCAAAGGTGTTGTATTATTCTCAGAAAATTGTTTGGAAGGACTCTGCATTGGTTTTGGGTGCTCCTTGCTAATTAAACTCTCCTTCACAGGTTCAAAGGCTTTGAAGGAGGGAGACACATAGAGGGTCTCTACAGAAGCCTGGGATCTATGGACAAAAGCCTGAGATCTATGGCAGAAAGGATCAGACTTGGACACCCTTATGTTGGTATTGACAGCCTCGTCTCTCCCCGGTGGCCAGAGGCCCTGCACGCTTCCCAAGGCGTCACAGTTTTTCTGAGGGGAATGACAGTCTGGAGATCGTTGCATGGCGTTTTCCAGTGCAAGATTTGATAAATCAAATCGGCCGATGCCAAAACTGTCTAGCCTTTTGCCCAAGCTCAAATTTGTATGCAGAGATGGACTTTTTTCCAAAGGAGCAGGAACAGCATCTGTAAAATAACAAACAGGAATTATGATTTGAAAATGAAAGCTGCTATGCTCTATTTCCTCCCATAACAAGGATAATTCTATTGCCCTAAATGGAGCATTCTCTCCCATTTAGTAACATCTCTAATTTCTCAGATCATTATATAAATGGTTATTACTCCCTTTCACTTCTGCATCCTGTCACTTTGGTTTTCAAGTTAATCTTGAATACATAGAACCCTATCCCTTTACAAGTGGAAATACGGAAACCCAGGAAAATGAACCGACTGCTTTCCCACCGTGGCCGAATTAGGGTCCGAACCAGCTGAAGGCAGGAGATTCTGAAGAGAAAGTCATATTTGGGTAGTGAATGGCTGCATCAGACACCAGAGAATAGCAGGTACAACAGAGCAGGAAGAATAGGAGAAAGGACCTACAAAAGATTCATAGAAGACAATATCCAAGAAAAAAGCCAGAAATATAACCCATATATATATATATATATATATATATATATATATATATAACCTCAGAGATTTGTATACAAAAATACAAAGCATGGGTAATGAACAGAGTGGACTAGAGATCTGAATGCAAAGAGGCAAATTTGACTTCCTAGATATCACAACTTGGTAGAATAGGATTCATGAGGAGAATTTGGCTCTGGAAGAATATACCGTATTCAAAAGAAACAAGAGATGAAAGGGAATGGAATAATGTTGATTATTAAGAATATGTACTTATATGAGCAAACTCAGGATTCTGAGGGTAGAAACAGCATGGAGGACATTTGGATGAGAATCAGTGGAGAAACAATATGGTTGTAAAGCTATAATACAGACCACCTGGACAGAAGGAGGCGGTAGATGAAGACTTTGGAAGACAGCTCACAAAACTAGCATGGAAGCATGATATTGTAGTGATGGGAGATTTCAACTATTTAAACATGTGCTGGCATTCTCTCCCTGCCAAAAGAAGAGAAACTAATAGATTGGTCATCTGCCATAATGGTAATTTTGTCTTTCAAAAAGTGAAAGAAGCAACGAGAGGAACAGCTATTCTAAACTTTATTCTTAATATAAATTCTTAAAATAAAGAAAAACCTAATGATGAAGTAAAAACTACAGGAGCTTTGGGAGGCAAGGGACCACTCAGCCATACAGGGCAAGAAATCTGAGAACGTCTGATGTGCACCCTTAATCCTGAGAAGGCAGATTTCAAAGTGTTCATTGGAAGGTGGCCCAAATGGGATGGGAAGCTAGACACATGCAGAAGTGATACTCATGAGGATGAAGAGGGAGTGCTGTATAGACCAACGTGGATGCACAGAAAATTCAGGTTTCTAAGGCATGTTTCTAAGGGCTGGCTAACTTAAAACGAATACAAAACGTTACCTCAATCCTATGAGAGCTAAGAGTGGCCACAAATGCTAAGGAAACATAAGGGGTCTTGTTTGTTTCAGTAGTAATATGGGGCAAGAAAAAACTCAAAGAATGAGTAGAACTGCTGCTCACGATGCACGAAATGACAACATGAGGGGATGATGCCACTCTATTCTTTTCTCTTCTAAGGAAAATTATCTTTGGATTGAGAAGGATGCAACCAAACAGTTATCTGTGAGAACGAGTTAGGCAGAATCGAGGTGCCCTTTTTATTTTTTTAGGCAGTTGGGGTTAAGTGACTTGTCCAGGGTCACACAGCTAGTAAGTGTCAAGTGTTTGGTCTGAGGCTGGATTTGAACTCAGGTCCTCCTGACTTCAGGGCCGGTGCTCTATCCACTGCGCTACCCAGCTGCCCCTGAGGTGCCCTTCTGAGGGTGACTCACTGGGCCCATTCGGATGAACTACAACCAGGGCTCTGAGAGAAGGCACAGGAGCGATGCTGAGCTACTGTGGGTGATATTGGGAAGACCTCGCTTTCAGAAAGGGCAAGAGACAGAGACTCATCACGCAGTTCTGGCTCAGCAGCCGATCAACAATCCATCTCTTTACTATGGAGTTAGCATACTGGATGTAGAGAATGTCTGTAACTAGCTCCAAATCAAGGGGCAGGGTCTTTCAATCATATGCCATCATGACTTTCTGGAAGCAAGTTCCTCCAGACTTCTCTACATGGGCTGGTGGCAGGCACAGCATGCCTGTCGTGCTTGGTGGATGGCACTCCACTGGCCAGGTCCCTGTTACATTATCCACGACTCTGAGGAAGGCAAGGTGGCATGCTCATCAATGTGCAGATGACATGGCCCAAAGGACAAATGAGCTTTTCAAGCAAGCCAGCTCACAACATAGAATGAGTGTTTCAATTCATGAAATGGCAGTCAAGATAAAAAAAATATCTTAGCAGGCTAGAGTCACCATTGGGTTAGAGCTAATCAAATGAAACTGAATGAGGCCAAATGAAGAGTCTTACATGGGTTCCAAAAACTAGCTTCCCTAATTCAGGCTGAGGGATGCGTAGCTAGATCCCAGCTACTGTGACAGAGATACAGGAGTGCTAGTGAACTGCCCGACCTGAGTCAACAGCATGGTGTGATACCCACAATTATATCCGCAATGGTAAGGTGCATGAAGAGAAGCAGTCTCAAGAACAAGTCGGGTCATCAATCAAGCCTAAACATTTATTAAGCCCCTACTATGTGCCAGGCCCCGTGCTAAGCCCTGAGGATATAAAAAGAGGCCAAAGATAGTCCCTGCCCTCGAGGAGCTTACATTCTACTCAATCAGCCATCCCCTTTTTCTCTTCCGCCCTTTTGCGTTTGCACTCTGCCCCTCAGCTTTCGACATGCAGAACGATGCTGGCGAGTTCATGGATCCATATGTGCCGCGGAAATACTCCGCAAGCAACAGGATCATCTGGGCCACGGACCACGCATCCATCCAGATGAACGTGGCCACGATTGAAAATGGCACAGGCAGATTCAACGGCCAGTTTAAAACTTAGGCAACCTGTGGAGTAATTCGTAGAATGGGAGAATCTAATGACTCCGGCTGGCAAAGAATGATGGCATCATGTCAAAGAACTTCTAATTGAAGAAATCTTGTGGAAAATGTCTTAATAAATCAAATAAAACAAAAACAAAAACAAAACAAAAACACAATCTGCTCTGTCCTTGTCAGGCCACTTCTGGAGTCCTGTGCTCACTCTAGTTTAGGGAAGCCAGAGAGAAGCTGGCATGTAGATAGAAGAAGGATCAGGTGACGGAACAAGGGGTGTTCATCCTGGAAAAAAGAAGATTTCAGTGAGATGAGAGAGACGAGGGCCTCAGATGCCTGGCCCCAGAGGGAAGAACCAGGGCAGTGGATAGAGACCGCAGGGCTACAGGCCAGCGTCAGTTCTTCAGTGGCTGCTGGGATGTTTTCTTTTTTGTCTGAGACACTGAATAAATGTCTATTGCTCTGTTGAGACAGAAGCCCCCCACTTCCAACATGGAATGTGATGCCTTCCACTAGTTTTGTCCCCACCGGAGGTGTTCAGGCGCTGGCTGGAAGAGAGCTTGGGGAGAGGCTGAAGAGGTGAGGTTTGGTCAAGTACAAGTGGACTAGGTGAGGGGCTCTTCACCTGGGGTCCATCCACTCGGTTTTTTGAAAAATATTGTGATGATACATTATCACCAAAGAGCATGACGTCCATGGGAATCAGTATGCCCTCACTGAGTCTGACACCGCAGGTCAGGGAGTGGGGCAAGATCTACCTTTGAATGTCATTTTTATCACTGGTAATAAATCCTAGAAACGTGAGGATAGGAAGGGAGACACCTGCCCATCAGAGGCACAGGAAGGAGAATGAATGGGTCAGTATGTATCCATATCAAGTAATCAGGCTTGATAAAAAAAAAAGTTCATTTTCTAGAGGAAAGGAGAAAACAAGATATTTATTCTAACTAGACACACATCTGTAAGAGAACTGAAATTCAAGGCGAGCCTGGCCTAGGAATGTCTATTTGTGTATGAATTGTTTGCCTTTGTCATCACTTCCCATCAAGCTAGATGCCGAGTCATTCAAATAATTCCCTCCAACCGTGATAAGAAAAGAGCCGGGTTTCTGAGAGGCAGAGTTAGAGAAACTAGGAACCATACCTGGGGGAGAAAGAAGAGAATGGTCGAAGACAGGGCTCCAGAAGCTCTAAAGGGTGAGATTCGACAGCCAAGTGAACTGTGACTGTTTGCCCACCAAAACCAAAAGCCATCGTGCTGTTGCGTGCCTGCCGTCCGTCACGTTCCATATTGATGCCACGTCCTTACAAATGTCTGGCACTTTGTGAATGCTGAACGAATGATTTTTATTGACGGATGTCACTTCCTCATTCTGAATAATGAGGGGAAACTAAAGCTTCTCTAGATAGGGCCCAGACGGGGTGCAGATGAGCCAAGAGGTAGCCCCCAAATGGAAGAGGAAGAAGAGTGCAGGCAGGATCGTTTTGGGGAGACTTCCGGAACCTTAAACTTGTCCCTGCTGACAACACTCAGTCAATACCAATATTCTCCCGGCAACGCTACTGGATATGGTGGCCTGTCGTAGATAATAGATGTTAATGACAGCTAACATTTATCTAGAATTTACCATATGCCAGGAACTGGGCTAAGCACTTTACAATTATTGTCTCACTGGACCACAACAATGCTGAGAAGTAGGTGCTTTTATCGCTCCCGTTTTACAGATGAGGAAACTAAGGCAAACAGAGACAAATTTGCTCAGGGTCACACAGCTAGTAAGTGTCTGAAGCCAGAGCTGAACTCAGGTCTTCCTGACTCCAGGCCCAGTGCTCTATCCACTGTGGCCCAGATCTCAACAAAAAGATGCTTGGTCACTATATGCAAGCTATAGAACACTGTATGAAAGTAGTGGTCTAGACACCATTGCCGAGGGGCCCAGGACATGTACAACCAGACAGGGAGGGGCTGGGCAATGGACAGCAGGTGGACAGGCTGAGTATTTCACCAGAAAAAGACCTTGAGAAAGGAAGGCTGCCAGTGCGTATTACAGGTCAAACACAGTCTCTAGCCAGGCTCCTACTCAGAGCCCT